ATCATTATTGGATGTAATAAACATAAACCACGGGAAAAAACTAATATAAAAAATATAATTTAACACAAAATGAAAAAAAATCAAGTGAAAAAAAATAATTTAGAAGATTATAAGAAGCTTTCTTATTAGCTAATTTAATTGTTTTATAATTTTTTTTTAATTAATAGTTTGGTTAAAAAAAAACAATAACAAAATATTAAGGTGATTGAGCGGCATACATGCTTCACACAGACTATTCCGTAAAAAATCATTCATTTATAGATTATTTTTTCTGTCTTGGACACAAAGTTCTATACAAATCAAATCTCATCACCGGAAAAAAAAAAAGTCCGATTCAGTTCAGAAGATCAAGATGAGTAGAGGAAGCGGCGCTGGTTATGATCGTCACATCACTATCTTCTCACCGGAAGGTCGTCTCTTTCAGGTTGGTAAGTACTTCGATACTCTCTCTCAAACTCCTCTCTATCGATTTTACTATGTGGAAAACTGATTACTCTGATTCGAGAGCAGAATACGCTTTCAAGGCCGTGAAAACATCTGGTATCACTTCCATCGGAGTTCGAGGGAAGGACTCTGTTTGCGTCGTTACCCAGAAGAAAGTTCCGGTGAGTCGATGCTCTGGATCTACCAGCGATTTTGTTTCTCTCTCCCTCCTGTAATTGCAGCGATTGATTTGACATTCCTCTTTTTCAATCTCGAATTAGGGTTTTTGATGGTTTTTGTATTTGGTTGAACCAGGACAAGCTTTTAGATCAGTCTAGCGTTTCACACCTTTTTCCAATCACCAAGTACATTGGATTGGTAGCTACTGGGATTACAGGTTGGTTTATGAGATTTTGTGTGACAAACTCATAGTATGCTATAGAGAGTTTATATATCCACTTTCATAATTTTTTTAAAGCCTTGTGCATAATTACTCTAGATGGTAAATTGTAAACGTTCATTTTCAGCTGATGCAAGGTCTTTGGTCCAACAAGCGAGGAATGAAGCGGCTGAATTTCAATTCAGTTATGGATACGAGATGCCTGTTGATATTCTTGCTAGATGGTATAGTTGGTCGTCTCTTGTATCGGATGTGTTTTTATGTTGTTTCGTAGCTTCTTAGTTATCGTTCGATCAGGCTATCTTTTGATAACTGTCTTGGTCACAGGATCGCGGACAAGTCACAGGTTTACACTCAACATGCTTACATGAGACCCCTTGGAGTTGGCAAGTCTTCTGTATCATTCTCTGCTATACATTAGTGTGTACATGTGTTTGATGCATTTTACATCGCCTTCACATTTTGATGAATTTTATTAGTTTGACAAAGGGATTGTTCTTGTTGTCTTTCTTTGTAAAGTTGCTATGGTTTTGGGCGTTGATGAGGAGAATGGTCCCTTACTTTACAAGTGTGACCCAGCTGGACATTTTTACGGTCACAAGGTATCACCGCTCTTGGTTTATGCTTTAACTAAACACTCTCTTCTCATGCTTACAAGCATATTGACATACACTACTTACTGCTTGTCATTAACATAGAATGGAAATGCCACAGACTTATAGTCTTTGTGATAATGATAATTGTAATTAGTATAATAAATAGGATTGGGTTGGGTCATATTTGTGGAGCCGTTTGGGATATGTAACATTACCCTTACTATCTTTTTGATTCTTTGTATCCGGTTGCTCCTTGGTTTATTCTTCATCGAAGATTTACAGAGAAGAATAAAGAAAACATTTTCAAATATGTCTTTCTCATTCGTTGATCTTAACACCTTGCATGAAATGTACACTGCCATTTTGCAACTGAATGTTATGTATTTAAGTTCTTATGCAATGTGCTCATTTCTATTTTTGAGTTACTAGTTGATCCTGGGTTGGGAAAAAAATTCAAATTTTGTGTAATTCAGTGACATAACTACATACAGGTTACACGAGTCTTGTGTATCATGTGACCAAGATCTCTAGAGGATACATGCAATGTTGTTCTGTCTCAAGACTCGTGGATATGTCATGTGGATATTTTATGTCAAAGTTGCATGTTATCTGAGAAGCAGCTAATAAATAAGCATATATGTTCATGCAGGCAACTAGTGCGGGTATGAAGGAACAAGAAGCAGTCAATTTCTTGGAGAAGAAAATGAAAGAAAACCCAGCTTTCACATATGATGAAACCGTGCAGGTAATTATTTCCATTAACTTTCATATTTTGCTTGTTTATGCTGTTATGTGGTTGGTAGCATATATTATCTTCCGGGTGATACCTTGTCGCGTTCTTTCGTAGATAACATAAGAGAACAGTCTTTGAAATGGAATTTACAATTCTATTGTTATTATTGATGCAAACACGAAATTACACTTCTGAGCTTTTTATACTTTTTTTAGACTGCCATATCCGCTTTGCAATCTGTTCTTCAAGAAGACTTCAAGGCTACTGAGATTGAGGTATACAAATCCTTTCTCTTATACTCATTGGTCATTGATTTATTTGCGGTTGTTGATATATCTTATTAAACCGGTTGGTGGAATGATAGGTTGGAGTGGTGAGAGCAGAGAACCCGGAATTCCATGCATTGACAACGGAAGAGATTGAGGAGCATTTGACAGCCATTAGTGAACGAGACTGATCAATATTAGCGAAAGAACTCCTAAGTGTAAACTGCGTTTGCTTTGATTTGCTTTCTCAGATATTGCGCTAAGTGATCACTCTTCATCGATCTTTTTTAGCCAACCCGGCAGACTTTGAAAAGGCGCTCTATAGGCTTATTCCGTAACTCATATAGCTCACAAATTTTATATTCTGATTTGTTATGAGATGCAATCTAATATATATTGGGGGTGAATTAGGTGAGTATTATTTTTATGGTCAAAATTAAGTGTATACTAAGATTTATGAGGCAAATTGGAAAATAGCAGAAGGCAACGCGATGGAACTATGAAAACGGCAGAAAATACTCCTAAAACTCCCTCAGAATGTGAAATGACAATCGGAAATTATTTTAGATAAGTCTTGAAACTCTCTATTGGTTTTACCGTGTGTTACACTATCTAGTTTACTTGGTTGGTGTAGATATAGACAGATATTTTAAATTTTGGGTTCAGCTATCAATGTAAATTAAGATTTATCTAAAGATACGTAAATTGAAAACATGATGATGATGTTTTAGACGTTGTACGAGCCATATATAAGTAAAAAGATTACCTAAATAATGTCATCTTAACAATCACTATCACCAAAAAAATTATGACATGACTTGAAAAATATGATTTGGCTTAAAATGAAAATGATATGACAAATTTGAATCATAAAAAAAAATTACAAATTTTCTATAGCTAAATTTATATTTTTCTATAAATAAAGAAAAATAAA